CTTCCATTACAGCCAGCAGTTCGGCCACGGGCACTTCAAGATTACATAATTCCTACTCTCGACGGATTCCGCCAGAGCATCCAATATCCACCTACTGAGGCGCACAATTTTGAGATCAAGCAAGGCCTCTTGGCGATGCTCCAAAATAACGGGCTATTTAGTGGATTGGCGGGTGAAGATCCCCATCTTCACATTGTCAATTTTCTAGATAAATGTAATTCCCATCGTCAAAACGGCGTTTCCCAAGAGGCGCTTCAATTAATTCTCTTCAAGCACTCCTTACAAGGAAGAGCTCGCCAGTGGTTGATGTCCCAAGCCCCCCACTCTATCTCGTCGTGGCCTCAACTTCTCAACCTTTTCATGGAAGTTTATAGATCACCCGAAAAGGACGAGAGAATTCGACGAGAAATTCATAATTTCGTCCAAGAGCAAGGCGAGCAATTATACGAGGCATGGGAGAGATTTAAAACTCTTTTGCGGCAGTGTCCAACACATGGAGTCGAACAATGGCGTCAAATCCACATCTTCTACCAAGGGATTAACGAGAATGCACGAACCGTCTTAGATGCATCAATCGGGGGTAATTTCATGAGTCAATCGATATCGGATGCATTTATCATGTTGGATCAAATTGCACAAAATCGGTTTGCCAAGTCAAGCGAGAGGACGGTTAGTGGAGCCAAGAAAATTCCCGGAGTGTTGGAGTTAGATGCAATTACGGCCCTTCAAGCTCAAGTGACCCAAATTGCTCAACAAAATCAACTCCTTCCGCAGCACATCAAAGCAAGTCCGCCACAACAAGTCCAAGCAATTGATTCTCCATGTTGTGAAATTTGCGGTGGAAATCATTACACGATCCAATGCCAACAAGATGTGGAGTCGCTCCACTACGTCAACAATGCGCCTCGCCAATTCCAAAATCAAGGGTGGAGATCGCAAGGGCAATATGGAGGAAATCAACAAGGCCAAGGGTATCAAAGACCTCAAGATCAATTCCAAAATCAAGCCCCTCCTCCACAAAGCTATCAAGGCAACAATCCACCGGCCCAAAAATCAAGCACGGATGAGATATTGGCCCAATTCATGAGCGCTACCCAAGCCTCGCTGCGGAATTTGGAGAATCCATTTGCTCAATTTGTTGTGAATCAAGAGAACCGTCTGGCGGGAACATTGCCATCGAATACGGAAGATCCTCTAAAGCAAAAGTTCGAGACGTGCCAAGCTATCGATGTCAAGATCGAAAAAAGGGAAGAAATTCAAATAAAGCCGCAAGTCACTGTAGCTGAATGGGTGGAACCAATCCCATATCCACGACGATTGCTAACGAAAAAGATCGAGGTCGAGACGTGCCAAGCAGTCACCTTGAAGAACGGTAAGCAATTGGAGGAAGCCCCACGAAAAGAGAAGAGGAACACGATAATCGAGAAGCCGAAAGTGAATGAGGAGAAACAATCAACTCATGAAGAGCCACCATCAACGGTGCCTTCACAAGTCCCTCCAATTCCTTATCCTCAAAAGTTTATAAAGAAGAAGCTCGATACCGAATATCAAATATTTTTGGACAAGTTCAAGGAAATTCGCATAAATATTCCTTTCATTGAAGCACTTCAAAAGATGCCAAACAAGCTGGGGATCGCTCTAGAGTGACCTGCAGCAGCAAGCTGACTGCCGTCTGAAGGACTTTCTCCT